TAATTTTTGCCAACGTTTCAACCCAAACATGAGGGTCATCTTCAGGGCTGAAAATGTTTTTTTAAAATTATAATCAGAGATATAATAGTATACGACCGCTAATTATAAATAATAAACTATAGTGATTGATGGCACATGAATCTTAACTAATATATATTTTTTTTAATCTGTTTATTGAATAATAATACAATCAGCCACTGCTGGAGGGCTATAAGCATTAGGGCTAAAAGTTCTCATTCATACAATATATACAAATAATAAAGAAATAAATATAAATATAAGAAGTAAATAAATACTGGTGAAGAAGTTAAATAAAAATAAAAAAATAAAATAAAATAAAAACTTCTAAACACAATCATACCTATATACAATATATACATTCACCCAAGAATCTCCGAGCCAGGCTTTTTCCCCCACACGTGGAAGGCAAAGCAAGACTCCGGAAGATCCCAGCACCACTTTTCCAGCCGCATCACTAGTATTAGAAGCCAGTGGAGACTGAAAGAGGGCACTAGAGCCACAGAGGCTCAGGACATGAGTGGAGAAGCTGGCCATTGCCAGGACTCCAAAGGCATATTTACAAAAGATCTCGAGGCCACTGCCATTTCAACCTTTAAGGGGGATGGTATGGATGCTTGGAGCTGGATAGAGATTGCGCTAGAGGATTGGGATGATGAATGAGGTCCTGGTGAAAGTTGGAGAATCTGGATGGGATGATGTCATGGACATATGGGATGTTAAGGTCATGGTGTAGGGTCTTGTTCATGACATAATATGGACATTGACTATTGTTCGAAGGACTTTAGATTGGAAGGATTGGATGCGTTTGATATTCGATGATTTAGTTGTCCCCCACAGCTCAAGTCCGTAGGTCCAGATAGGTTTCAGTATGGTCTTGTAGATTAATAATTTGTTTTCTGTTGAGAGATGAGATGTTCTGTTTAGTAGTCTATATAGCTGACCAAATCGTCGGTTAAGCTCTTGTCTTTTAAGTCTCGTATGTGGGTTCCAAGTCATTCTTTTGTCCTGGAGGAAGCCAAGGTATCGGACTGTGTCTGAGTAGGGGAGAGGAATTGAATTAAAAAGGATTGGCTAGAGGATTGGGATGATGAATGAGATTCTGGTGAAAGTTGGAGAATCTGGATGGGATGATGTCATGGACATATGGGATGTTAAGGTCATTATGTAGGGTCTTGTTCGTGACATAATATGGAGCATTGACTATTGTTTGAAGGACTTTGGACTGGAAGGATTTAACTAATATTGTAATACACATATTAAAATAGTTATACAAACTAAAAATAAAAAATAATGTATATAATCAATTTATATAAATTTGTAATATTTTCTCTTACTAACCGTGGTTTGAGCACTGAGGTTGTTCATGTACTGACACTTGTTTGGTAGGTAAGTGAAAAGGTCAGGGGGGGAGGATTTCCCTCTTGTCCTTTTTTTTAGATAGCAAAAGGTAAGTAAATAAGGTTAGAGGGGAAGGGAGGGTAACATATGTTGTTTGTAGAATATACATAATTTGCTGACAAATATTTCAGACGTGTACAATATTTGAGTTATTTCGTATGGTTACAGAAATGTGACTATTGAATAGTATTAAAATTAACATAAGCAAAAGGTGCCAATTAATATAAATATAGCTTAGTTTGATAGCAAGTATACAAGGGTTAGGTGAATAATTTTTATAATAAAGACAATTTCAATGTATGCAGATGATACTTAGGAAAACATATTATATAATATTTATCATAATATAAGTTTGTGTTATATTAAGGATTACATAGGCTATTGTTTCAGGAGGCAGAAAATATTTGAATATGTATTCCAGATCTTTTCTTTGTCTACTTTATGCTTTACCGGATTATTTTTTTCCAAATTAATGAATATAGATTCCGATAGTAGTCGTTTTTGGTGATTGGGAACTGTAGTGAGTATGGTTGGGTTTTCAAAATCAAGATGACCCACATGTTTGGGTTGAAACGTTGGCAAAAATAAAAAAAAATTTAAAAAAAGACTTTGTCCTGAATATTTATCACCCATGATATGTAGAACAGTCGACTAACTTCCTTCAAAAACCATTTTCTTATTAAATAATAACTTCAATTAAAAAAATTGAACTTTTTTTTAATAAAATGATTTTATAGTTCTGATAACAAAATTATTGTTTTTTATTTCCTTATAGGTCTCAAACTAAATTGTCCCCAGATCCCAAATGATCTGTGCACCCCCCCACTGTCAGAGACAATTTGTTAGATCAACTTTTTATGTACTGTATTAAAACCCTCAAGAAATACTGTTAAAACATTATTTAAATTCATTTAAGTCTTGTGATCCCTCCGTGTCTTCAAAATTAATTGAAAATGTTGAGTAAATCGACTCAGAAAAGAATAAAACTATTAACAACTATTTTATTTTTATTTAGTTTGCCTACATAATCTAAAATGCTTTTAGTCAAATTAATTTAGAAATTCACTAGTCTTTTTAAGAAAAAATTGTTTTTATTTTATTACATTTTTTAAATATTGAAAAAAATCTATAAATTTTATAACAGAAAAATCAAGGACGTGACGCTGAAGTTCTCCGTTTTGTTACTTATTTCCAATTAAAGGTACTTGGAAATTTGTTTTATTCAGATAACACAATACACTCTGAACTTCCAGAAGTAGGAGTAATATGGTCCATGTACACTTTTATGTTAGGACTTAATTGCTAAGTAAATCCGATAAATTACCCCTACCAGGTCTTCGTTTGGTGGGGAGGAAGGACAAGACGTTGATGACATAAATCTAGGTGGTAAATGTGATAGCATAACACCTAATGCAGGTAATAAAAAAGATCTAACTCAACGAATCGAACTAAAAGTTGTTAATAGTTTTATCCTTTAACTGCGATAAGCCTTTTCTTAAGCTGATTGTTTTTTTGTTTTCATCAACTTTGAAGTTTATTATAATCAATCTAAAGAAGTTAATGAATTCAAGCAATGTTTGAAATTCCTTTTTTGTGGTTCTAATACTTAAATATTTGAGCTATCAAATTCGGATAGTAGCTAGTTGAAAATTATTAAAAATTGTGGTAAAAAATGGAAACCGCCTTAGTTATACATATCTTGACTCTTTCAAAGAAAAAAATTACTTAAATGATAGTAAATATATTTTATTTTAAAATTTATATATTTACTTGGCTAACTTTGATGCCAAGCTTTACATGACAAAGAAAGTTATTTTTAAAAAATTAAATTATATAAAAAGGTATATTGAGGACTAGAGTTGTGGATTTTGTTGAACCTGGTATCTATTTTAAGTTGGAAAACTGCCAGAGTGGGATAGTCCACTAAGTTGTTGAGTGGAATATTTATGTTTTTTTATTATCTCAGTTATTAATTCTTCTTGAGCAGGCAAATAATTATGAGGGAAAAAAGAAAAGAAATGAAAAAGAAATACATATAGTTATATATATATTTTTTTTCCTTTCGCTTACCTAAATATGAAATATATAACCTCTTTGGGGAGCCTGACGTTGTTAGTATTTTCAAACGATATCATCTAAGATGGGCTGGACATGTGGCCAGGATGAAGGAATAGGAAACTGCTGTAAGATTACTGACGGAGGGAGTCCATGAATGGGGGAGAGTTGACCGCCCCCAACTTCGATAGATTGACTGTGTGGCTAAGAATGGGAAGGGTTTGGGAATCCACAACTTGATGACAGCAGCACAGGAAAGAAACTTCTCGACGTTGCTGGTTGAGGAGGCCTGGACGCATTAACGTGTTGTAGCGTCAAACTAACATATATCAAATATATAACAACAAAACCTATTGTGATCGTGAACAATTTCGAACCCGACTTTCGCCAAAAGAATTCAAGCAGTGAGAAATTTATTTATTTATATATATATATATATATATATATATATATATATATATATATATATATATATATATATAATTTTCTGATGGCATTTAAGATCTTGTAGATCTATTGAAGCCTTAACAAGCCTTCTCCACCACTGCTTATCTTGGGCTCTGTGTGTAGCTCTAGCCATCCTGAGTAGAAATGTTCTCTCAAAAATTTCAATCCTTGAGATCATAGGAATTAATAGAAAGTCAGTTAGTTTCCAGGTCTCGAAACCGTACATCAGAATTGGTTTTACATCCTTAATTTGAGATTTCAATAACTTTGAAAGAAAGAAGCTCTGCTTATGTTTGTAGCTGATCTATTATCGACCACTGGTCATTCATTAGGATTATTGTGGATCGGAGGTAATTGAATTTGTTTAGTATCGGAAAGATTTCCCTTCTACCCAGATCCTGTTATTTGGGATTGAATATTTGATTTATTATCATATACATTATTTTGTCTCTATTCACTTCTAGGCTGATTTGCTCAGCTTCTCTTATCAGAGTCTTAGGGAGTTTCTCAATGTCCTCTCAATTGCTTCCAAGGACAGGTATATCATTTGCACATCCAAGGAATTTATGATTCATTCATACCTACACCCCTCCATTTCCAAACCATGTCCTTATTATCTTCTCCAGCACTAAGTTGAATTTCAGTGAGAGTCCATCTCCCTGCTGTAAACCAGTTCGGCATACTCAATTACTTTAATGAGAAATTTATAGCATTAAACTATATTAAATATTTTTGAAGTATTTATTTATGTAAAAACATCAATAATCCTGTAATTCTTCAATATTATAGTTGTGTAAGTACTTGTTTTGATGGTTTCAATTTAATTATTTAATCTAATCCTTTTAATAGACTAAAATTGAATATTGCACTCTTAGATGAATTTAAAAGGTATGCAGAATGTTAAATTATCAGTTTTTAGGAAAGTAACTAATTCCTACATGTTAATAAAACAGTCTTTAGTATTACAGTATGTGTGCTCTAAATAAATAAATAAATACTGATAATATTTTATTAATGCATCTTTATACAATTTATGTATAATATAAATGTAAAGATAATTAATTTATATGTTGTTCTAGGTCAATATCCGGAAGGATTGTTGGAAGTGTTTGGTGGTTCTTCACTCTGATCTTGATATCATCTTACACAGCCAACTTGGCTGCCTTTTTAACAGTGGAACGAATGGTTGCTCCCATCAACTCACCAGAAGATCTTGCATCACAATCTGAAGTACAATATGGAACATTGTATCACGGCTCGACATGGGACTTCTTCAGGGTAAGTAACATGAATTTTTTGAGGTTGAAAGTACTGACATGAACGCAAATATTGTGAACGCATGAACGCCCTCTATATGGTGCACTGTACATACCTTTATCTCTTAAAGATCACTGACAGTATTCACCCTCTGTTATTCTGTTCTAAGCAGCTATACATGATGGTGAATATATCATTAGTGTTCTGAGGAGGCAACACCTTTGCCTAACTCTGGTGTAGCATTCCCGTATCCTTAAAATTATAAGTCACTCATGCCAAGCCATTCATGAGCATGGTATGCATCAACAGTTGGCCATAATGTTATGGTGGCTATGATTATAAGAATACCCACTTTTCGAATCGAGAACCTTGGAAATTTAAACTATGAATAAAATTCTGAAAAAAATATATATATATTCTTTGCTGACCACCTCATTGAAGTTAAATTACTAACCAAACTCAAAAAATTTTTTTTCTTGTTAAATATGGAAAATGAAAAAACATAAGTGAATGAATAATATCAATAGTGAAGAAATTACACTTATTATGAGAGAATGATGTAGTAATGAATGTATTGGTAATTGATGAAACTGTGGAGAAATAAATACATTGTCAGAGGAAAAAAAATTCTCAAAAAAATGACCGTTTATTATTAATGTTATTATAATTTATTTTTAATTATAATTTCGGAATGTAAGCTGCTTAGAATGTTTTTATGAAGGTTACCTAACTGTAAACTATAAGCATAACTAATGCAATTTTAGAATAAAAAATTATAAAGAAAGTGACATTATACATGATGTGAATCAACATATTGTTAAAAGAGTGACAAAACCAAGTTTTGATTTATTTCATATTTATTTTTTTTTAAACGGATTTCAAATAATACTATGTCAGTTTTTATTATAATTTAAACATTGATGATGTTCTTTTAAAATACCTTTTTCATCAATATTGCCCATTTACACAATTTGAAACTAAGTTATCTGATTTTTTTTCTCAAAACTCAAATTTTATTTTATTTATTTCTGTACCCCACTTGCAACTGTGCAGTAGCACATCTAGAAATTTAATGTAACTAATAATTTTCTGCAAATTCGCAATCATTATTGATAATAGAATTATTGATTAAGGAGCAGAACTCTTTTTTTTGTTTTTAATATCTATCAATCAGGTAACAGAAAGGAGGAAATTGTTAAAAAGAGATTTTTTTCCACTTTTTCTATCCATTTCCTTCACCTTGTTACCTGCTCGACATAGATTAAAAAGAAAATAGAACAGATATCCGCTCCTTTATCAATGATTAAATAAGGTCATTATAAAATCTAACGATTTAAATAATATTTCATTGACCTATCAATATATTTGGCTTTTTAATAATATTTAATATTTGTTAATGTTTCCTATTTATTGAATTTATCTTAATTCTTTATCAAGTAACCCTTGATGAAATATATTTACAGAAATCACAGATCACCCTTTACAGCAAGATGTGGGAGTTTATGAGCTCAAGATCACATGTTTTTGTTCGCACATATGATGAGGGGATTCGCCGAGTTCGACAATCAAAAGGGAAATATGCTCTACTTATCGAATCTCCTAAAAATGATTACATCAATGAACGTGAACCATGCGACACTATGAAAGTAGGCAGGAATCTTGACTCAAAAGGCTTTGGTGTGGCTACACCTCTTGGCTCCCCACTCAGGTGTTAAAAATAAGCTTATATTTTTCTGTTCCTAGTAAATAATTGGTTAATTTGGCTTATTATGAAAATAAGTAAAATTTACCATTAGCTTAAAAATGTTTAATTCTGCTTTGTTTATTACTTATTAATTTTAGTTTCAAGATTGAACAACTTCTGTGGTTATCATTGTCCGTTTTCTTGAATTTTCCTTCAACTTGATAGTGTTTTAGATATTATTGTAATGTCCTGTATCTTCTAAAAATTTGGTTACTATGTTGTGGTAACAGTCCTCACTTAGAGCCTTGGCGAGGGATCTAGGTATGCCTAAGTTGGCCAATTTCATTCTATATTTAGGACAGTCTTCAAATATATGCTTCACTGTTAGGGTTGTTTGACAGTCCTGACATTGCGGAGTTGGTTGTTTTGTCATTAGATAGCTGTGTGTATCAAGCTTTCATATAAAGCTTTCATTAATGAATTAACAAGCACAAAAATATTATGAATCCTCTACTATTTAACGCTAAAGTTAAATTCTAAAAGTGAAGTTTAGTTGAAGTATTCAAAAATAGGAAACAGCCATCTGTCCCTTCTGAGAAGAAAATATCAGTGATAAAGAATTTCATTTAAATCATATATACACATAAAATAAATAAATTTAAATTAAAAATTGAATAATTTGAATGATTTCATCAGTTATAAGACCACTAACTTTTTATATTGTTAAATGGATTAAAGACTCCATTTTTCAGGTGATTTCATAAATTAATGACCTATGATATTTCACACTTGTAAATTATGTACTGTGAAGGAGAATAAATCTATAATTGATTTTTATGCCCTAATTTTAGACAAAAATAACCCAGAATTGAAACATTTTGTAATTACATGGTTTCACCTTGAGACTGGTGGTTTAATCTTAAATAATTATAATATATAAAATTATAATTTTATTTGAAAATATTATTATTCTAAAAAGTTAGTCATTTTGAAAAAATATAATTGAATTTACTCACAAAGCAACTTAAGCAGTATGATTAACAATATGCATATGTATTTATTTTCAGAGAGGTTGTAAATTTAGCAGTTCTTTCATTGATTGAGACTGGAGAGTTAGCCAAGTTAAAAAACAAATGGTGGTATGATAGGACAGAATGTAAACATGGAGATAAGGTTAAATTAAAATAAATGTATATATATATTAATTTGATAAAATTTAGAATTGCTATTAAAAATTTTCTTTTTAACTAGGATACATCAAGGAATGAACTTTCACTGAGTAATGTTGCTGGTATATTTTACATCTTGATCGGAGGCCTAATCTTGGCAATGGCTGTTGCACTCATCGAATTCTGTTACAAATCACATTCTGAAGCTACTCGGGCAAAGGTAATCTATTCATACGAGAAAGAGATCGATAAACATGATTTTCTGAAACCTAAGCAAGCTGTTATGCATGAACTGAACTATTGAGTGAACCTATACAGTATATACATTACAAAGTATATACACTGTAACTAAGTGGGACAGATGAAAATTTTACATATTAATCTGATACACTGATATGTAAGATATTTAGATAGTATAAATAAATTAAATGTTACTCATATACTAGACATGGACAAGTAGACTTATTTTCATTATGGTGTATTTCAGTCATCCTCACAAGCAGGAGGAAAACATTCATAAATTAATATTTAATATAATTTTAAGTGCTAAAATCAATTTATATTAAATTATTACATAAGAAATAAATTATTAGTTATAAATAAATATTTTTATTAAATAAAATAACTTATTACTAATTACATGATTAAGTATATAGATATTTAATTACAATAAATTGAACTTTCATGTGTATTCCAAGTAATTTCAATGTTTCTTTAGTAATAATTAAGACAAAATTTATTGTACTATTCTATTAATTTAATTAATATTTAAACAATACTTAACTAAATAAAGATCAGATGAAAACTGAATTATATTTAAACTTTTAAGTTGTATACTTTCTTAATATAGTAGGTACTTTATTAGCTTAAAACTGTAATTTTAAACTTGAAATTTTGTGGTCTATTTCCTTATCTAATGATTTACACGGATTCTAACATTGCTTCATAAAAACATCTTGTCAAGGCCCAGTGGATTTGTATTTTTTTCGTATCTTACTGTACTCTTTACCAATCTGGGAGACCCATCCTCTAATGATTTCTATCTTAACAGATTTTTTGGTACTTGTGAACAGTTCAGTCGGCATGGACTGCTATCTGACAATGTTTATAACCAGAACACTGATAACTCTGATAAGGAATTGATAATCACTACCTTCATATGAACCGGTGATTCACCTGCAAATCATGATAGTTTGCTTCATTCAGCTGTTGGGTGTTGTATCCTTTTCAACAGTAAGAATAAATTGTGCTTCCCTCTTTTATATTATTTTTAATACATTCTAATAAAGTTCTTGCCATTCTGTCCTTTATTTTTATGATGAAACACTTGTCTGTTTCTCAACAAACTCTGCCAAACATCCATTGTTCGGGGGGAACTCTTCCTACATGATTTTTTCTTTTAGAAAAAAGACTCTCGTATACTTCAACGACTTTCCCAGGAAGACAGCAGTCCCCAAAATGTAATAACATCCATTTCAACCATAAACAATTAAACAAAATAACCAATGCAATAACTCACAAGCAACAGCTTACACGAGTTAAAAAGGCAGGAAAGGCAGATTGACGTAATATAAGGTAAGAAGGGAGGTTTACTGCCAACCAGATTGTTCACAAGTACTGATTTTTTTATTGAAAGTCTGAGAGATAACTTTCTGTAAAACAAGGAATGAGTGAAAACCATATATTTCACTATTTACATCTTTAGGTCAATTGATCCAGTTTTTATATAGAAATTATCTCCTTGCATGATACAATGTGTTCGTGCTATTTTTTCCCTCACCTGCATTAAGGCTATATTTATAATTTTAAAATCTTAATAATATTTAACCTATTGCAAACACACTCTATGGTATGAGGGTAATACAAAATCAGAAGAATCAATGACCAAAAATTCTGTTTAATTAATAAAAAGAACTTAGATGAATCAAACAAAAACATTCTGAACAAGAAAAGAGAAATCAGGGTACTGACAAAAAGTTTATTTATCCTGTGATAACAATGAGTTATAAAAAAGTTAAAATAACTAAAAATTTCTCATTAGGAAATAAAAAAAAGAGCATATAATTTACTAACATGCTTGCTGTATGTAAATGAAATAGCTAAATAATGAAAAGCATTTATGAACTATAAAATACGAATATTAAAATATTTATATTGTAAAGTGTGAATTATTGTTTAATAGTTTTTTTTTTTTTGTTTTTTCTTTTTAATGGAACAAAGGAAGATTTATCATAAATTGTTAATATTGCTAAAATTAAGTTGGTTTTATATTAATGCAATTTAGGCATAATTATGATGTGTATATATATATATATATATATATATATATATATATATATATATATATATATATATATATTATATATATATATATATATATATATATATATATATATATATATATATATATATATATATATATCAGTTATTAATGGTCATACTCTGAGAGTTGATTCTAGACAAAATTTCTTTTTAGGTTTTGGCCGATTTTGATCGTATAAGAAGTTAAGTCCAATTTTGTTTTCTTAAGATGGGCACTATTTCATAGGTAGCGATAACACAGAAATCATTTAGTTTAGGTTAATAGTAGCTCATTATTGTAAATTAACATTTCTAAAAATAAAACACTACAATTACTAAATTTTTTTCACATTGGCATAAATATTAGGATTAAAAACATTCAGTTAGTTTCTTAATACCTTAAGGATCAATTACCACAATAGATATCTTTGTTATAAAAAATAGTTCATTATCATCTGAGATGACACTTTTTTGAAAAAGCAATATTTTCTTTTATAGTTAAAAAGTGTATTTTCCTAATAAATTTACTAACATTGATGTCAGGTCACAAGAAAAAGACTGAATTAAAACTTTATAATAATTTCTTGGTTATTATTTTTGCTGAAAATGTACTCTGGAGTTACAGAATATCAAATCACATAATTTTTCACACAAATAGAGGTGAATCTCAACATGATAAAAAAAACATCGCGAATAATCCATGATTTAAAAAAAAAAACAGTTTAGCGTAGTTTAGCTCCTGAAAAGTCCTCTTTAAATGGTTAGGATATAAACAAAATCTACTTGCATTTGAAGGAAATTTTGTCAGTTTACTATGAAGCAATTTTTCATTACCGAAATTAAATTAATTTTATGTTATTGCTTCCTATGAAAGAGAAAACCTGACCGCCTTAGGAAAATATAAAATTGGCCTTTTCTGTTCGAAATCCTTCGAATCGAAGACCCATAAATAAAATCAAATTTTGTCTAGAATCACCTCCCAGATTTTGTCTATTAAAAACTGAGACACCTTGTATACTGCTTACTAGAAACCTTGTAACTTTAACCCTTCATAGTAGATAAATCTTGTTTAAATTAGAAAACAATAAGTTAGATGGACAGTTTCATGGACTTCTGACTCTGTTAAGCATAAAAAAAATTATAATTTGCTTATAAAAAAAGTATGCTTGCAGATTATTCATCCTATTGTCTGCCGTATGACAGAAACTTTTAATTTTTATATAATAATATATCAGGAAATCTGCAGAATAAAAAAAATCACCAAGAACAGTTTTATTTATGTAAACAATATGAAAAACTACAATAGTATTATGAAAAATGTGAAAGAAATCAAATTTAAATAAATAGTTGATTTGGTAGTTATAAAATTAAATAAACCTAAAATTAAAAGTTAGTGTATAATGACAAATGTCTAGCGAAATGTCAACACGAGGAAAAAGGAGAATCTTGAAGAACATGAACAATATTTTAGAATTAATATTTTTAAAAAGTAATTAATAATACATCAAAAATTAGTAAAAACACTGGTTAACCATTTCAGAGTAATCCCTGATTAACAGAAGTAGAAACTGGGGATGGAAAATTAGAAAAAGATCAGAACACTAGATTACTGAGGAAAACATGAATTTTCAAAAATTCATATGACAATAAAAAAATAAAGAAATGCATTTTCTAATAAAATTTTAGCAGCTTAATCAATTTGAGACTTTAATATTGCTTAAGTTACATAAATATATATTACATATTGAATCGAAGGACACCTTCACAATTGGACAAAGAAATTCTCTGAAACAACAGAAAGCTTAATTAACTTCATTGACCTACATTCACTGTCATATTGGGATTAAGGGCTAGAAGAATATTTCAGCAGGCCTCAGGGGGAAAAAAACCTCTATGGCAACCAAGATTTGCTACAGATTTTTTTTTTAATACTCCTTCATAAGAGTTAAATAAACTTTGAAGTTTGATCATTATGTGTGGTAATATCATTTGCCTCATTGAATAGATTGGAGTCTTAAAATTACCATGCATTACTAATGTTTGAAATATTTTCTCACTATCTTCACTAAGAATATTAAGATTTTTATAGTGATTTTTTAATTGTCCAGCTTATAGCTGGAGACAATATTGAAAAACATTTTTTTTTTTAATTGATTCATTCATCTACCTGATACGTTAATTTTATTGAACAAAATCCTAATGTTATATTTTGTTCATAAAGTGTTTTATAATAATGACTGAATGCTATTGTTGAAGAGCAATAATAAACAATACAAAATGTCCTCTGATATATCTTCTGTAACCAAAGATTCTCCTGTTCAAATAGTTGTTTATACTTACAGATTCCATTATCCGATGCTATGAAAGCAAAAGCAAGATTAACAATTGGTGGAAGAGAATTTGATACTAGAGTAAGTATTAATCAGAATTGCCATGCTGTTCAAAGAGAATACACAATAACATTTTAATTTATCTAAAACTATAAAACTAATGAACTCAGTTAATTAATATTGTGATAATAAAATTTAAAGTGTTCATTTTCAATTATAAATTAATTATAAATAAAGAATATAAACAGTTTCAATAAATATTTAAAACAATAAAGTGAGACACTGCCTTTTGCATTTCTAGTTGAAACTTCTATTGAATTTAACTATATATTTTAAAATTCATATATATTTTTATTGTAAATATTTAAAACAATATTAATATTATTGCATGTATTATATATTTCCAAAATGAAATGTTGTAAAATTGATTGTCTTTAAATTACTTGAATTGTTAATTAATGGATGTTAGATTATTCTATATTTTATTTTAGTCTGCTTTTGAAATTGTGTCATTTTCTGATGGCATGGTATTAGAGCATAATGTGAACATCAAGTATGATTGAATCTTTAGTTTTCTTTTTATTTAATTTTAATTCTATGAGACGACTGCATTTTATAATAATCCTATGTCTCTTTTCTTGATAATCAAAACAATCATTTGTAGTTATGCCTACTATTTGTTTATTTTGTTTTTTTGTTTGTGGATCATTTGCATTCCTTTTATGTTCAGTTCTACGGGATAGACTAATAAGTTGCATGGCAAAGATGTCCTCAATACAAATCCAAGGCTTTGAAAAAATTGTGAGTACAACTAATTGTCTACAATGATGCATGATGACATAAGTGCCACACCTTATTTACTAAGGGATAGTGATGATATATGCATAGTGTATACTCATTGTAACGCATAACACCATTAAAAACTGTATATATTAAAATTTTTGATACTTGTTACTAATTAAAACAACTATGCATTTAAAAGTGATTGTTTTGTATATTCATTTTAAAAATTATAAGAATATGAAAAATGTTAATCATTTTCTCTTCCTTTCTCTTTATTTTACTCTTTTAAACATCTGTTGTTTTCTGATTGTGTTTTTCTACTTCTACGTGCATCTGTAGCTCTAGTGGGAGCATGTGGCTTGGCTTTTTTGTATTTGCTTTTAAATAGTTTTAAAGTTAAGATATCTTTATTTGCAATGTCTCTATAAAATAAACTTTATATCAAGTCTGTGCTTTAATGGAGCTGTATTTTTTTTTTTTTTTTTTACTTTTGTTTATTTTCTAGATACTTGATAGTACTGCTGAAACAATTAAGTAATGGTTCTAGTAGTTAAGTGATTGCAATGTCTTGTAACTTATAACTATAGTATCAATACATAATGAAAGGTGTATAATTTATTATTTCTTGATTATTAGCCATTATGTGATCAGAAACTCTTTCTCTGTTTCCTCAATAAATTTATTTACTGTACAAACCGGTACTACATAATTTACTTCGTGTGATGATTAAACGTTCTAGCATAGTTGCTAAGTCTTAAGTGATTCACTTAATTTTGTATTATTCCGGTTACTGCGTTTATCATAAAATTATCAACAGGAGGCTGAAGGACACTAATCAGACTGATAACTTGGTGTACTAATGGTATGGAATATCCATAACGTATTATCTAAATTAATTCAGTGTTTTATCTTATATTAATCAGTTAATTTAATCAGTTAATATTATTAATACAAACATGAATATTATTTATTCAATTAATATCAATATTTTCTATCATCTTCCAAAAGTATAAGAAAAATTTACATGACTAAATGTATGTTACTAACAATCACTCTAGTCTAATGGCTCCACATCAAATAGAATTTAGAACAGCCATCAGTATGAAATCTTTTGTGGATATTTTTGAGTAATACAAAGCTACCAGAATTATATCAGTTCTAAACTCCCTCATATTTCTTTCATTCAGGTTTTAGGCAGTAGTATAATAATAATAAAAATTGTTGTTCAGTAACTACATAACATAAGACTACATGGGAAAAACCTGTTAACTCACTTTTTTTTTCAATATTTAGATAGAAATGTTCTGTATAGATTTGGATGTGGCGAACATGGTGGTGAGTTCAAAACAGGGAAAAAACATGTTTTAAGGCTCAAAAATACATTTGAAATAAAGCTTAAGGGAAGGAATATGTTAACTTGAGCTCTAAACGAGAAGAATGTGTTAACGTAAGGGACGCAGAGAGGGTTCTCTGAGGACTTCTCCCTAGAAGTTTTCTGAGAATAACAATCGCTTTTAACTCCTTCAGTACTAGTTTTTGAAATCATCTTATCAGATAAAGCCCACCTTATCATTTTACGATTTATCCATTGCTGTTTCCAGTTCTTCAAATCTGACAGGTGGATATTCATACACAGAATGTGATAAAGATATGGTGTTGGTTGAACAAAAATTCAGAGCTGAAGTTCCTAATGTTTGGATCAAGCATTTATCTCTAGTAAGATGCATTCCCCATTTTGCATAGAGAGAGTAGACCAGTGCCTTGTCCGAAAATGGACACAGTTTTTTGAAAAAAATTATGCTAAAACAGTACCAATGAAAACTTGTCCAATCAGGCAAGTGAAGTTTGATGCTGATTATCTTCAATCAGTGTATAATAGGGATATTTTTTAGCTTGGAAAAGCTCAATTTTCATCCTAACCTCTGCAGTTGTGACAACAACAAACCTTCAAAAGAAAACAGGAGGGAAGAAAATAATTAGTGATGGAAGATGCAGCAATCTAGATAAGCATCACCAGCTTCAGGAAAATGAATTTTTCTTTGCTTAAAGGAGTTATACAAAGCCGCTTCCTGTTTCCAATGAAAAATATAATGACTTGCAACATTCTAAACAATTTTGTGGCAGCAGAGCGAAGAAGTACTTAAAAAAACTAACCCACATAGCTCCGAATCAACATGCTCTTCTCCAGGAAATACAGACCATTTATAATCTACTGCTCTTCTTACCTCTTAAATATATATATATAAAATATAAAATATATATATATATATTTTTTTTTTGCAATTTTAAATAGTGGCAATAGAGGTGCAAATATGGACACGGATCACTATTTGAGCATTGCCGAGGTCAGATCACGAATTTCGCTGATTAAAAACCACTACCAACGACCAAAGAAGAAGATTGATGTGGTTAAACTTAAGGACTCAGACCACCAATATTCGTATCAACAAGCTGTGGAGACGAAACTTAACGAAGAAGTAATTAATGACAGCTCTATGGTCGATGAACAGTGGAAGAGATGCAGCAACGCAATGAAACAGGCAGCAGAAGAAGCTCTTGGCTACGAGACTAAATCTAGAAGGCCCCCATGGTTTGATGCTGAGTGCCTTCAAGCAGTAAAAGTGAAAAATGAAGCCTACAGAAAGAAGGTTCAGCGTCCCACAAGGCTCTCCCAAGAAACATATAGAAGAAAAAGACGCGAAGAGAAGAGATTATTCCGCGGAAAGAGAAGAGCTTGGGAAAATAAGAACATGGAGGACACAGAGGCATTGCGAGGCCAAAATGAAAGTCGCCTGTTCTTTCAGAGAATAAACGAGGGTAGGGCAGCTTTTAGGCCCAGAGTGACGGCATGCAAAGACACAAATGGAACTCTTTTAAGCCACAAAGATGACGTACTAAGGAGATGGGTACAACATTTCAAAGGCGCATTAAACAGAGGAACGGTGCCTGGAGAAGTAGGTGTAATGAAGGAAGACTCCCTGAATTCTATTGAACCCCCGGATGAGGAGGAAATGGAAAACGCCCTAAGGAAATTGAAAAATGGAAAGGCGCCAGGCCCGGACGGAATCCAGTCAGAGCTGTTGAAATGTGGAGGTGAAGAACTCAAGAAAGCTCTGCATGATTTAATGCTGACCATCTGGGAGAAGGAAGCTATGCCTACGGAATGGGCAACAGCCATTATCTGCCCAATACATAAGAAAGGAGATCAAACAGAATGCGCTAACTATCGAGGAATCTCACTCCTTTCGTGTGCTTATAAGCTGCTCTCTAACATTCTTTTTGAGAGGATCCTCCCGTATTCTGAAAAGGAACTGGGGAAATATCAGGCTGGATTTCGAAGAGGACGCTCAACGACTGATCAACTGTTCTCTCTGAGGATGATCCTAGAAAAGACTATGGAGCGTAAGGTAGTCACCCACCATTTATTCCTGGACTTTAAAGCAGCATACGACAGCGTTGATAGAACGCAACTATACTGTGCCTTGGAGGAGCTAAGCATCCCTCAGAAGCTCGTACGCCTAATCAAGATGACCATGGACAGCTCGAGATGCAGAATACGTGTCGGTTCTGACGACTCCGAAGAGTTTAAAGTGAGCAGTGGGGTTAGGCAAGGGGATGCCCTCGCCTGTCTATTGTTCAATTTGGCAGAGGAGAAAGCTGTAAGAGACTCCGGTATTCAGACCAAAGATATAATCTTCAATCGCCTGACACAGCTTCTTGGTTTTGCTGATGATATTGACATAGTAGGTAGGTCTGAACGGGCTCTCAGAGAAGCGTTTATAAGCCTTGAAGCAGCTGCAAGACCACTTGGTCTAGAAGTCAACGAGAGGAAAACTAAGTATATGAGAGTTGGCGGTGAGGTTGATCTGAACTCTCCATTTGAGGTAGGTTCTTTTAAGTTTGAGAGAGTGAAAAGTTTCATATACCTTGGGTCTGAAATCAATAGCAAGAATGACATGGCTCAAGAAATACAAAGAAGGATCACGGCTGCCAATAGATGTGTCTTTGGACTTGGCCGACACTTAAGAAGTAGGTACCTCTCAAAGAAGACCAAGCTGATCATATACAAGACCCTTGTTCGGCCTGTTTTGACATATGGCTCAGAGGCTTGGACGATGACCAAAAGGGATGAGATGAAGCTGAGTGTCTTTGAGCGAGGAGTCCTCAGAAGGATTTATGGTCCAGTAAAGGAGGGTGATGTCTGGAGGAAAAGAAAAAATAGGGAGCTCAGTTCTCTCTATGCAGACATCGACGTAGTCACGTATATTAAACTGGCCAGACTAAGGTGGGCAGGGCATGTGGCCAGAATGAGCACCCTTGAAATACCAAAAAAAATAATGATGGAGGAGCTGCACCTCGTAAGACGGGTAGGAAGGCCGAGGACGAGATGGTTGGACAACGTGGCCTATGATGCGAGAACCCTGCTTGGTGTGCGGAATTGGAGAGCTGCAGCAGAAGATAGAGCCAACTGGCGGAGGCTCTTGGAGGAGGCCCAGTCTCGGTGACGGGATGTTGTGCCATACATGAATGAATAGTGGCAATATTCTCTGTATTCTTATTAGAAGAAGTGAATTAACACTTTGTTCCCCTGGTGTCTTCATATAGTTAAAATTACGATATCAATTATTCAAAATATTGTTTTAACTAATGATTTTGTTGTTTGTGTTTAAAAATATAAATTTTAATTGAAAAAAACATTCTTGAAGGATTTATAATTTAAAATATACTTAAAATTTCAAATACTTCTTTAATGTTTTGAGTAAAGGTTAAATTATTTAATGTTCTAAACACTTTGGAAGAACTATTTGTATCCCATCAATTCAACCAAATTATATCAATCTCTATATTAAAATATTTTTAGAATATAAATATTGCAAAATATATGTTGACCAATTTTTTCCATTTTATTAACAAAAGGTGTGACAAAATTATCAATTAGGAATTAATATAAAATTTAAAAAATAAAGTAGGTAATTCCACCCTCTGGCTGTCAATTTAATTTTCTAAATATACAGAAATAATGTTTTAATAATGCCTGGAATTGTATTTACGAGTTCGAAATAGTTTTCTAGTAAAATGGTCTGTAAGGACTTGAATCACTACCTGTCCATAAAAAATTAAACAATGAAATTGTGTGATTGTCAATATTGCCATTGGAATTGTTTTCACTCCAAGCTCTCCAGTTGCTCATGCTTCATTTCCACCATTTTCCCATAGAAAATCATCAAAATAAGCACAATTTGGATTTATAGAAAAAAAAAATTAAAATTCAGTACATACTAAATAAGATATGAATGTATGTAAATATCTTTTTCAATAAAATAATATATTATTCTCTCCTTAAAACTATAAAATAATAACCTAAATAATTTAATTACTAAGTTAAAAAATAAAATAAAAATACTACACTACTTACCTACTTAAAAGGATCAATTATTTTAAAAATATCCATGTGTTATTTCCATATTATATTTATTGAATTAAAATTATATGAGCAGTAAAAGATTTTACATTCATTTTTTGTTGTATTGAAAGATCCTATTAATTTCTTTATTATATATGAAAGTTCTTAGTGACTGTAATATTTTATTTTACATATAAAAAAAATGGAACGGACGGTAACAACGACAACACACTTCTTATTCCCAGAATTATTTCTTCCTTATTATGGTTACAAATTGGCAATAATAATTATTATAAGTATATACTAATATAAATTGGCAATCAGACGGTATGTATAATATAGATTTTTAATGAAATTAAATATTTGTTGTGTTAAAAAATGTGGTTTCATTCCCTTTATTTTATGTTGATAAAAAGAATAAAATCTACACTACAGAATAAATGTAAGTTACAGTTAGACAATTTGAGCAATGAGTAATAAAATTAAATTATACCACTGTATAATTTGTAAAATTTGGGTTGGTCCATCATTAGGTGGTATCTCACCTAGTCATTAATAAATAAATAAAGTTATTTATAACATTTTAGAATTGTTTTAAATGAAAGATACTACCAGTTTGCAGAGTAGTCCTGATGATGTAACGATATCTCTGAAAGTTGGAATGATAATGATGATTTTTATTTTACAATGAATTTTAACAAGGAAGATTTTTTGCTTCATATTTTATTTATTTACTTGAGCAGTGAAAGAGTTTCTTATATTATGTTTTAATTTTCTAATGAATTGAATTGTAAAGAAGTTGTATGTCTTATATATTTCTTCTAACGCTTAATCTTTCAATTTTCTTCATAAACATAGTTCTTTTTGGAAAACAAAGATTAAATGCACGTTAGAAACTTCTATGTTGACATTTCTATCTGGTTTTGGAATAGAGAAAAAAGTCCTTGATAGCAAACTTCAGTTGGTTGATTGTTTAGATGTTTGTTAACTAGGATAATTTGTTTTCATACAGAAGAGAGAGACGCTGTTTCAGTATTATTCTTCGGGAAATGCAATAAACCAGCCAGAAAGTGACCAGATCCATTCAAACACTCATACACAAGTCTGATGGTCAGCGACAACTCAGACAGCAGAAATTTGCTGAAGAAACTTCTTATCAAGTTGTGTGATACTACCTCTTGTCACTCTTTTAAGTGATCTCTCAATACAATGTATTAGGGCATAAATTAAAAATTAAGATGTAATTATTATTTTAATTTGTAACTTTTATAACAATTAATTCATTTTTATGTTTACATTTGTATTTCTATAATATTTTGTTCTTCTTATTTTTTTTTTCCTTGAAAGAGAGTTAATGTATTGTACAATGTTTTTAAAAATATATATTAATTATTATTTTATTTTGATAAGTAGCGCATCGTTCAGTTTATCCCTATGATGGAATTCTATTAAAAAAAAATTATATATGTATCATTGCTCCTCTCGATGAGTTGCATAATTCTAAACATATAATTTTAGTTTTATAATGTAATTGTTGCTGTGATTAATTTAAATAATTTGTTTAACATATAATGTTAATTCCTAATTACTAAATTTATGTATTTATTTGATGAATGTAAGAAATTATATATGAATGTGAATATCTATGCTTCGAGAGATCATAGTTTGGAAAAAATTATGCTGATAGGAACAGTGAAGAAAAGTGCTAACCATTATCACGGCTGCTCAAGATTTTATTTTAAGCACATCATACGATATTAATCATTTGTGTTATTTTAATAAAACAACTTTGCTTTCCTACCCATTACATACATATACGGACAATAAACCCAATACTTTAACCATTTCAAATGTAAATATAAATAAGAACCCTACATATTATAAACTTTCCATTCAATAACATCTAAACGAAAAAATATTAAAAAAAAAACTATCTGTATATTTTTTAATATATAGTTGTTAGAGTAAATTTATACCTGATTTATGTAGGAATGTTTCAATGTTCAACTTTTCTTTCTCCACCTTTTTGAAAAGTCTATTGTAATACCCTAAAATATAGGTAAGGATTTCTGACAAAACAATGCATTAGGTTGTATATACGTTGATATGTAAATTTAAAACAGCCACTGGAACCTACCTATTTATAACAAACTCATTCTAAATGTTTTTAATGTAAATAATAAATGTATGGATATTTATCTCATATTTGTATGTTATAAGAATTTAAGAACCAAATCAGGTTCATAGGAAAATTTAAATTGTAAGTCTTCTTTGTACAGGTCATTAAGCTAATTTAAGTATACTCAATATTTATACATGTTGATGTTTTATTGTATTAAAATAATATTAATTACTTTTCATAAATATGTATGTGCCATATAATTAAACATATATTAAAAGTTTTGTTGAAGAATTATAATGTTTTGTAAATAAATAAAAAATAATGTTATATAAAAATTGTATTCTATACTTATTAAAGAAGTTTCCTTCATGATCCTTTTTCTTTGTCCACCTCTGATGCAATTCCTAGTGTTAAGGAGCCTCAATCCAAAGCAGCCATGCCTTCTGGTCCCGGCTAACCTGCCTCATTTCTTGGAGAGTTTTTCCTCTCTTCCTTCCTATCCACAGTATATACTCATAGTAGATAATTCTCGAATAGCCTCATGGTCTCCTCCGAGTGGGTTGAGCTTTCATCGCTTTCCGAAGTTATCTTTCATCCTTCATCCAACAAATGTGGCCGTCAGTTGTCGATTTACAAGGATGGTCTTTAGTTCCACCACTTCTAGTCTTTCCGACTGCTCTCTGCAGGAACTTCATCTGCAGCAGCTATCACCTGGCTGGTCTTCTTGTCCAGCATAATCCAACTTTCACTTCCGCAAGTTAGGGTTGGTAGGTATCAGACTTGTATATGTGCATTTTAGTATCTATATTAGTAACTATAACATCTCTGTGTCCCACTATGGTGTTATAGATAGGGTAATAAACCTGGTTGACTTTGGAAATCCTATTTGCTACTTCTGAGTCAATCCTCCCCATTTGGCTAATGCCTGTCCCTTCATGGCCCGTACTTTACTTAAATATTATGCTATTATATCATAGTTGGGTTATTCTAAGATAATGTTTAAATTTGCAACCCTATTCTTTTTTAAAGTAAACTGTTCCAAAAACTTATGTAAACAAATCTTTGACCTGTAGCATCAAATAAGTAACATAAATCTTAACTTTGTTAGTTAAGGAATGATTTCAAATATAAACTTTGAACAGTTATGGATAAGACAAATGCTGGGGCATGGTTGTTCGTTACCTTATAATTGCCTAGTTAAATCTCTCTAGGAATGTCCAGGTGATCCAATTATTTAAACTTAGACTATACTTCTTATTGGTTTCTTTAACCATCATAAACATGTAAGTAATATCCTCTCTATCTTAGACCAGTTAACTTTTTTTTTTATTCTCTAACCTCCTACCCATCATTTCTGGCACAGGGGTGTTCTACCAAACCTATTCTAACCGGAGTGGGAGGGTCAAGTTTCATTCTGTGGGTCTGCCACAAAATAAAAGTCAATTACTCCCAGGCCAGATTCGCTAGGCACTAGGATGCTAAAACAGGCAACGCTCCAACACACTCGGCCATCACGACCTCAACTTAGACCAGTTAACCCTCTGGTCATGATATAGATAATTTATATGAGTTTATAAATTAACATAGGATGGCCTTGAGAGAGATGGATGGGGACACATTACCTCCATTCACATAACATTCAGACGGCCCTAACTTATATGTTATTCATATTTTTTCATAGGTTTGTCTGTAATGTTTTATCTGTTTTTTTTTAAACACATTTTATTTCAAAGATAGGAATGTGTGAATAATACTTTATTCAAAATACATTGAGGGTGGAAATTTAAATTTTATTTTTGTGACCAGAAGATCAAGATCACTTTATCATCAGAAAATATTATGTGATATTGTTATGGGATGGTGGAGTATTAAAACAAAGCAGTATTGATCTTATGTTATTCCCATGGACACCGCTATTGAACAGACCAAAAGCCAAGTATGCTCATGCATGCCCATCCAGTATTTCCACCATTATTCATGTATTTATTTATGGTTTACAAAATATTTAATTAATAAATTAATACATAAGAAATAATTAGATAATTTTCCTCATGATACGTATACATCCTTACTTTAATTCGATAAAACTCTGACACCCTTTTTTCTCATATATCCTTTTTTCATGTTTCCTTTCATGCCAAAGTAGATTTTAAAAAGTATCAGTAATATTAAGAATTGGTGCAGAAGTATAAAATAATTTGGTATAAGTTTGGTTATTAATAAAAGTATAAGAATTTGTATTTTTCTTTTCCAAGTTTATTATGCCTTTGTATATTAGCAATATTTTTTCTGGCAATGCTTTTAATGAGAAATTCCTTTTTTTATAAATGTATGTGTTTGTATTTCTTTAACAAAGTAAGACTAAATCAGTCTTTTGTATTGTGTTGTCCCATAAATTCTTTCCCTTTTCTTTATTTGTTTTTTAAGGTTGATTTACTGAGTTGTATATGAACCGTTTTGTCTTATCCTAATAATCAAATAGGGCAAGATCTGGGGATTATGGATGATGAGGCAGAACATCCCAATCAAACTGTATGAATTTCTGTCTTATTTTTTTTTTTACGGGGTTTTCCCGGCCCGTGGGGATGGGAGGATAAGAGAGAGGAATTCGAAATCCCCTCTAGCACCGGGACCTGAACTAGTACTTTCTTTAATCTCACAACTTCGATTATCTGGTTGCCAGGCAACTCGCAGTGTAATGGACACACGTTAGCCCATTTGGCCAACCCGCCTCTAAATGAGTTTCTCTCTTATGGTCAACAAAACATGTGGAATTGACTGTAAGTAAAACTCTTACAGTTTGATTGAGACCCTCTACCTCACCATCCCTACTCCCCAGGCCTTGCACCATTGGATTATTACTTGTTTCTTTTGTTAAAAAATTCCCTCTGAGATAAATTTCAAAAATCCAAAAGCTAAATAAAAACACATCTTGATAAATATTTTGCAAGTAAGTGTCAACAATTTTGAAAAAAAAGTACAAGAGGCTTCCTGAGGGATGGAAGAAGGTAACACGGCTGAACAGTTCATATATAACACAGTAATTCAACATTAAACAAAAAATAAAGAAAAGAGAAAGAATAGGACAACTTAATACTATTGTATTCCATTTTCACTCTTTCAGTTCCAATTTTATTGAAAAATTACATGAAATGATTTAGTAACACATATGCCCCTGTAATTCTTATGACTTGTCTTGCAAATAGAAGCTAATGGCTCTAACATTAGAACATTTAATAATAATGATTTCTGTATATACTCATAAGATGTTAATACTATGGCTTGAAACTTTCATTGAATTTTTTCAAAAAGTTTCATTTCAAAAGCTTCAGTCAAACCTTTTAGGAAAAAAATTTTAATGTAAAAATTCTAAGGAACTTTTTTGTAATAAAGTTCTTGGTTCATGGTAAAAGTTTAACTATTGTTTATTTAATTTATCACCAAATAGTTATGTTAGATGAGAAATAAAAATTAATTTGGCATAGATTATTGTTAACGTTTATCTTAAATGAATTACTTGAGTGTGATGTGTTAATTGTTTGATATTCTTAAATACAAGTCTTTTTTTGAATTGACTTTTTGGCAAAACACACAGGACTTTTTAATATATATATATATATATATATATATATATATATATATATATATATTATATATATATATATATATATATATATATATATATTTATATATATTTAATAAATGTTCAGTAAAACTTTTACTTGAAGAGTTGCAAAGAAATAAGTTCTAGCTCTGAAACAGAAAAAAACAACAACTAAGAATAAAGATTCCAGTCACACCAAAATCAATTGAACATTTCATTTCAAGCTTTGGTAAAAAAAAATGTTAATAATATGTTTAAGACTTGGATGTTATTGAGGTTAAAGGATTATACTGAGTAGTTATCTTATCAGATAATTATTTGCCAGAGACATTTATAATGCTAAAATCAGTTTAGGACAAACAGCAGAAGTAAATGTTTTTATTATAAAATAGAATTTTATTAATTGAATACAGAAAAATGTAATTTGGATTAATTTTTTTGAAAGCAAGACTGGAACTAGCACTTTTGCCAGATGCGTGAAGCTTAATTTTGCTGCTCCTTCTTCCTTTAAGGCACATTTTCCAGTGGCATTATAACTTAAATTATGGAATGTAATGTAGTGGAAACTAGTCTTTAAAGTGTTTTCTTAGAGACCAAATACATTGATATTAAGGTTGGAAATTTAATTCCCATCGCTTAACCTCCGCCTTCGATAGTGTATAGTGGCCAAGCATACTCCAGCAGCTGCAGAGGTACGAGACTCCCAACAACTTCCAAACTTTGATGAGAAGTTGTCTTCAGGACTGAATATTACGAATAAGAGGTGTAACTTCCACAAAGTAGAAGATATCATGGAAGCGACTGTCAGTAGGACTCTATCCTTGGCCCCACTCTTTGAAAACTAGTCATCAATGAGTTGCTTGGAGTGCTCGAGGAAGAGCAGTTGTTCCCCGCCACAGCTTTTATTGATGATCTAGCCACTGCGATGTCCAAGAACAGCAGAGCCAGGTTGAAAGGAGAAGAAAAGTGATGTGCCAACCTTATAGCAAGATGGTGCGAGAGAAAGAAACTAAGGATGGCAGCTGCTAAAACACTGGCCATCCTTTGAGAGGCAGGACTGATAGAGCTCACCCTATTACTATGGTTTTCCCAAGAGCAAGAATATGTCAGAGTGAGGTTGTCATGTACTTGGTGTCAGAATTGGAAGAAATTTCCACTTGACACCTTACTTGGACTATTTGAGAAGTAGAGAGACCATCGGTTCCCAGTTAGCAGCAAAATGGGTAAAACTTTATTATTGGATCTCCCAACTACTCACTGGACATGTAGGCTTCTCAGCAAAACCCTCCCAACTCTGAAACATCAACCCATTGTACCTCAGTTGCGGAGTACCAGAGACTGCCGAGCACATTGTCACAGCCTGTACTGTCTATGAGGCATTGAGAGCCAGACTGCTGATGGAAACCGGTATATACGTTTTAATAGAGAGTGATTTACCTAAGCTGAATGTGGAAAACTATCCCAAAAAATTCTTTAAGGATGGAAAATAATTGGGAACAAGGGGAGGTACAACACCTGGAAGGCAGCCGGTGAGAGGAAGAGCAAAATAAGACCATGAGCAAACCTAAAGACACACAATTAAGCTGTGTGTCCAGCTCATGAAAACTATAATATTGTTTTTCTAGCAGCAGTGTATGAACGTTTGGTTACCCATGTGTACCCTGTAAGTATGTAAGTATGTGTGTGTATGCATGTCTGCATAACATCACACTGCTG